AACTGCTACCTCTGCAAAAAAAGAGGCAAAGGAACAGTGAGCCACATACTTAGCTTCTGCAAGAAAATCATATAGTTTGATACAAACAATAACATGGCAAAATAGCCGATATGGTGCATTTAATGGATGCAAGAAATACCACTTGCCTGCAAGCAAGAAATGGCAAGACCACAAAATAGAGAAAGTAATAGAATATGAAGAATCTAAAATGCTCTGGGACTTTAGTATTCAAACAGGCAAGCACCCGCCATATAATACCTCAGACTTAGTTATTGATAAGAAAGACCAAACAATATGTCTGGATAATGGACATTGCAGTACTTGGACACAACAAGAGAAAAACAAAGTACAGGGGGGTGTGAAAGAGTCACAAGAATCTGCAATTAGAAGTAGAATGGGGCAAAAGAAAGCAAAGATAGATGGGCCTTGGGTGCAATGCCAAAATATCACCACCATGAAAGCATCACTTGAGTAACCTCGACAGTGATAAAATGGCGAATTGATTGCAAAAGCAACTGTATTTGAAACAGTTTACATCATGTGACAATACCTTTACTATTATTAAACAATACCTGCCTATCCTATATCCATAGGAAGATCTCAATGCCAGGTCTAGTCTAAGTATCTGGCTGACTGTGCACAATAATAACCATAATAATTATGCGTGTTTCAAAATAAATACTAGGGATATACACACTAGCCCAAATTTGCTTCATTGCAGAGAACAGGACATTGCAGTTCTCAATATGGAAGCAAAGAAGAAACTTAATTTGCTTCAAAGGATATTTGACATGGCTTTCCAGTCTTGACTAGCATTTGCAACAGCTCACAGAGGCTTTATTTCTTTGTACAGGAGTTTCTTTGGCCATTACCAGTGCCAGTCAAAATTGCTTTGAGAAGATACCAAAAACTGCCAAACTGAATAGGTTACAGTGTCTTATAACTCTATTGGGTTTTTGGAGAAAACTCCAGGCCAATCTCCAACAGGCCGATCTCCAACAGGTGTCCTTTGCAGAAACAGCTCAGTGATTTAAAATGGATGAATTCCATAAGCTCTTGTGCCAGAATGTTGACATGTTTGCTTTGGTGGTGGAAAGGTGTATGGATAGAAAATCTTGTCCTGGGTTTACAAAGTGGGAGCAGGATTAAGGCACTGCCTTGATTTATGATCTGACTTTCAAATATTGCCCATGGTATCCTCTGAATCAGCTTTTTGGAGGGATTGCACAATTTTATGATAGCTTTTTATGTGATCCCTAGGGGTTTAAAGCCACTTGATGGAATATAATCATTCAGAAATCTTTTCCTCTATAGAAATAAATATTAAAATGGTTCTAAGGGGTGCACACCTAATCTTTGGTCTGTGCTTTTGGCCTCTTTTCTTTTTCAATACCTGCTATGATCTCCTGGGGGGGGGGGGGTGAGCTCCACCAGTGACAGGGACTGAATTTTCATTCTACTGAAAACTATTTCAATTCCATTGTATTCTGTGGAGGTTCTGAGTCAGCATTTGAAATGTGGTGGATACTTGGACAGGAGTAAACAAATTGAAATTTAATCCTGGTAAGAAAGGGGCATACTGAATAGGAAATGTACAAAGCAGCAATGGCAACTGTTGTTCTGTGGAATGCACCTCCTTGAAGCAATCAGACTCATAACTGGAAAGTTCTTTTAGATGCTCAGTCATTGACTGGTATTAAGAGTTTGGGCTAGTGGCCCACACACATCTGTTCTTGGTATACTTAAGCCAGTCTGGTGCTTTAGTTATATCCACCTTGAATTATTTTCCTAGATTTATGTGGGACAGCTCCTGAAAAAGTAAGACATGAGAAAATTTATTGTATGCCAACATCAGATCCCATTCTTAAGTAGCCCATTCCCACTGCGTTCGGTTCCCCATCACCACCACCCCTGGGGTCACATTTCTAATTCACCCCCTTCCCAATTGTATACAACAAAGTGAGAATATATTCTTAATCTAATGAATTGCTACCTGAAATAGAAAGAGAACATTCTGGAGTTTGAGGCTATACAATCTCACACATTTAATCATAAGCCTCAGCATCCCTTTAAAAAAAATGTATTCTGCTAAAACGATGCTTTTTTACATTTTGTATCTGAAAATCAACTTTGCAGATGAATTTTCTGCTTCTGTGAAAGTCATAGGACATATAGAAATATGAAATATAAAGAATATCTCTGAGTTGTTTAAGATTGCAAGACATACACGTTTAATGAAATAATTGTACGTGTATTATTCTTTTACATCCAGTGGCAGATTTTTGCACTCCACATATAAAAGTACGCGGACATTTCAATGTCACTATTTCCTACATTTTCTGGAATTTTTATTAGTTAAGATGTTTGAAATAAAATATGTTATTTTTAAAATGGGACAGAGGTCCAGCACTAATTTCGAAATTTGGTTCTGTTAATTCGGATTAGTTCCAATAATGCCGGCCCCTGCTTCCATAAAGCCAAAATTGGACCATCGTGCTAAATGGGAATATACAGTTTCTAGACAACGGAAGAATACAATTATTCTAAATCCTCTCATTATCTTGTGAGAGATTGAAATCGAGTCGCACAGTTTTAAAGAGCAGCGCGGAAAAAAGCCCACGACCTCCAGCAGAGGGCGCGAAAAGAAACCGTTTCAAAACCGAGGCCGAATTAAATGCCCGCTCTCGGATGAACTCGGCGTTCCCGGGTTGCGTTCGTCGACTCTACAAAGGGGATCCTCTTGCTCAAAAGAAAGATTAGAAAACTCCCAGCAGATCTTTGCTGGAACCAAACATATCATTGCACTGGAAACGGCAAACGGGAGAAAATATCTTTCCATCCCCACCCCCTCCTAAAGTGAAAGTGGGATAGGGACAGCAGGGCGGAGGAAAGAGCGTTAGAGACGCTGCTGAATTGCGGAGTGGCCACAGGTGTCTTGGGTTAGCGCAGCTGAATAACGAGCTGTCCTTCGAACGTTTGCACGCACAAATGTCTTCAGCCACATCCATGGCTGCAGCTCGAACCACGGTAGAATTATGTCCTTTCTTTATCAGATTTCTATCCCCCAGGAGCGCAAGTCCAACATGCACAGCGCTCCCACCCGCTTCCACCCCTCTACCTCCCCACACACACACAAACCACTCGATAAAGGTAGATAGGCTTCTTCTGTTGCTGACAATGGGTTTGAATCTAAACCTTCCCAACCTAGCCAAACACCTGACACCAAAGCGTTGTTAAAGCACCACGTTCGCTTTCATCTTTCTCCTCATAAAGGAGAGGACAGCTTCCTGCCATCCCCACCCCGTGAGCATTTGAAAAAACCCGAAAGGTTGATTTCAACTGCTTGCAAGAGCCCATAGAGGGCGCTGTTGTCCTGTTGAATTACAGGTCTTTCCGCCCCCCCCCCCCTTTCAGCCGCCGCCGCTCGTTTCACACTCAAGCTTCCCGTAGAAAGGGAGGTTCCCCAACTGTAATTTTTCTTCCGTGCCAAGTTCTCTTGACATATTAAAACTACGCGAGTAAATTGCCTTCAACGGTGTGTTGGCGTTTCCCACATCTTACATTTTGGCATTTTAGAGGCCGCGCATTGGCATATACAGCGCGGTAGAAGTCCCAAGGAACGTGACTCTACGGTCTTAATGTGTTTAAATCCCAGTTTTTATTCGCCCCCCCCCCCAACCCAATACCTGGAGAAACATTTCACGGGGAGGCAATTTTTCTGGTGTCTTCACCTGAATTGGTTCGTGCAGTGTTCTCGGGCCCGCCCAACAGCCAATTCAGCTGGAAACACCTGGAGGCGAGTGAAATCGCTACCTGGGTCCAGTAAAGCATTGCCTGAGCAATCTTCCCCACGTTCAGTCCGAAGGAAGCCCCGATTCGTTCAAGGCATTTATTCCCACATTCGGGATCGTAAGATTACAGGCTGATCCGGGCGGGTAAGGAAGAGGAATCAGAACCATTCCTAAATTAAGTATGTTTTTTCCTATCCTGCTGTGCTGAAGCGTTAAACGCTCGTATTTCCTATTCGACCGCATTGCAAGTCTAGTTGAGCTGCAGGGGAAGTTCGACCTAACTACTAACTGTCTGCTTCAGTGCAAATTGGGCCTCCCCCCACCCCCAGCGCCCCAGCGCCCCAGGCTCTAGAGGAAGGCTGGGAGCCAGAAGCTCGCACGCTTAAGTTTAGCACCTCCGGGGCACAGTTTCGTGTAGGAAAGCAATAATATCTTTTGTTGGCCAACCAGCCAATAAGGTTACAAATCCTGTTTACCATTTGTAGTATTTTTATGCACGTGGGTTTTCCCAACGGGACCAACCTGACCTCACCGCCGCGAGGACAAGAGGGATCGCTTCCACCCCAACACAGCCCAAAGGGATCGGCTCCTGTCGCAACCGAAGGAGAAGCCGCGCTAACGATTCGGAACCGGGGGAGGAGGGAGGGAGGCAGGTGGAGTGGGAGGACACAGGGTACACAAATCGTTTTGCAATTTGTCCTCTACCCGGTGGCAAGGTCATGATCCTCAGCTCGAAAAATGGGGAGTCCGTTCCCGGTGCCAAGGAGCGACTCACACTTATTTGGGGTTGACCCCATTGAAAGCGGCAGGACTAACTCCCCAGTAAGTAGGAGCTGAAGCGGCCAGAACCCAAACTTGGAGCTGGGGATGAAGATTTTCACTTATTGTAATACTGCCAGCTTTGGAAAAATACGCATTCCTCCGTGTGAGAGAGAGAGAGAGGAAAAGGGAAAGGGAGGGAGAGAGGGAGGGGGAGAGAGGGGGAAGGAGGGAGGGAGGGGAGAGGGAGAGAGAATTCTCTCCTTCCTCACCTCCATCCCTCACCAATTAATGCGCTCTGCTTGGAACCCTGTAACCGTTTCGGCTGCCTCTCTCTCTGTCCCCAAAGCAGTGCACTGTGTATTCAGGGCTGCGCCGCTCCCGTCTTAACGCCGCCGCCTCTTCTTCCTCCCACTCCTCCTCCTCCCGCCCAGACCCGCTTATAAGACGACAAGCTTTGCTGCCGCGGCTCCCTCTTCCCAGCTTTCATCACTTCCGTGCAAAGGCCAACCTGCCTTACTCCTCTTATTCCAGCTACCTGCTGGCTGCGAGAGCGTCTGACCTGCTCCCTCCTCCTGCCCTTTCCGACAGCTCCTGCTGGAAAGGTGCATTCTGAGGTTACGGGCACCGGGAGGGGGGAGAGAGAGAAAGAGAGAGAAAAAAGTTGGATTTCTCACTGTTATTGGGGCGGGCAAGGACCCCTGGACTCTTCGCTGAGCAACTCACCCCTTCCCCCTTCCTAGAAGGCGAAACCTCGATGGCTTGCCCACTCTTGTAAAGACCTCCTGAAAGGGTGCGTTTTAAGGCAGCTCTTCTCCTCCTAAGTCACTTTGCGAAATTCGCAGACCTCTCGAAAAGTCTGAAGTCCGAGCGGGAAAAGGCCTGTTTCCGCACCCAGCCCAGGGTGATTTTGTCCCCCTCCGCAAGGGGCGAAAGCTTACCAGCTCGTCTCGCTGAGATGGGTCTCGTTTTAAAACGCGCAGTTCGTTAAACGTCCGCTCAAAAAAAAAAACCAGGCAAGTGTGGAAACAAAATAAAACAAAGAGAAACCGCTTCATGAGAGGGAATCTTTCAGATGAGTTTCCCGGGGTTAAATACGGCCGGAGTAGGATGGTCCTGGTCTTTGGACTGCCTTGGCTTTCAACCGAGGAAAGAGAGCAAATTGCCTGAAATGAAAGGACACGGGGTGTAAACTTACGCAGCGTTTTGTCGTTGCTGCCCCTGGTCTTTGCATTTGTCAGTCAATCAGAATTTATAAAACTCTGTGTTTCTTTCCCATCTCACCAAAAAGGAGGAAAATGTCTATTTACATCGCAAATAATCCTCTGTGTTGTATGTGCCTAGGTGCGCGCGCGTGTGAGTTTTTTAGTTGTAAATTTCACACATATGAAATACCTGTGTGTGCGTATTACAGATAATATAAACTTATATCTTTAAATTATTTGAAAGAGTGCATAAACAAATCGATCTGTAAAAGGAAATGTGTGCAATACACATTCCTTGTGGTCAGAAAGTTGAGATCCACGTTTGCTCCTTTCCTTGAGTGTGTCCCTTACATGTATGTATGTGTGTGCAAACATATGCACAAATCGGAATGTTTACCTACAGAAATATCTCCAGCGTTCTTTTTCATAACTTGCCTGTGTGCGCGTGTGTGTGTGTGTGTGTATGAACATATAGCCGTATCAAGGGTGGGTGAGTAATTATATGCATAATCTATGTGTGTTCAATATGTCTATATGTTCTATATAAACTCCACAGATGGGAATGATTTTTCCTCTCTGTCTGAGGCTTCCTTCTCCAGCCTATTGTTTCAGACAACAGATATAAGTTGCGATGGGAGAGGAACGTCGGATTTGGTGTCTGTCCCCCATTTCCAATTATAGATGGATCATTACAGACAGAGAAGTCCTGAGAATCCAGACATCTGCTCTTCACATGAATGCACTCACCTCCTAGAGGACAGCCCGCCATCATGCTCTGGAAACTGGTGGAAAATGTGAAATACGAAGACATCTACGAGGTCAGTATGGAGAGAAGAGGCACCTTGGCGGGGCAAAGAAGATTTACAGAACCGGGCAAGAGTCTCGGACAGGCGTTGAGATCTCGGGAAGGCAAACCAGAGAGGGGTCCGAGGCGAGCCGGGCACTCGACTCCAGGAGTCCCGGCGCAGTTTGCCTGCCTCGTGGAGGGGAAAGGGAAACGGGGCGGAGGGGGACAAGCAGGAAGGGATTTCGGAGGCTTTCTTTAACCAGCGCCTTAGATCCAAAGAGGAACTTTATTTTTTCAGTTTGGTTTTTCCCCCCTTTCGTTTCCTTCTCCCTCTCAAGAAATGAAAGAGGCAGGCGCTCTGCACTCAGCTGGCAGGTAAAGCAGAGATTCTCTGGCACGCCGCGCTCGCTTTAGATCCACCGGAATTCGATTAGAACCGCAGCCGCCTTTCCTTTTCCGACTATTTTCACAAAGGCAGCTTCCTGCGGAACCGAAGGGGCTCGCTTTGCTCGGCTCGCTTTTCTTTGTGAGGCAGCGCGAAGCAGGGCGGAAAGGCACAAGTCCAGACGTGCCCCGGAGACCCCTGCCCGCCAGAAGAGCCCTCGCTATGATCTCGGCTCTTTCCCTTTGGCTTTGCAGGCATCTTCCGCGCCCGAGAGGCGGCGAGAGCCGGCTCACTTACTTCCCACCTTTGGCTCTCATATCTCGAACCGCTCTTCTAAATTGCCAGGCACTACCCGGCTTTCTCCGAACCGGGCAAACATTGCAATCCCGTTCCATTTGCCCTGCCTGGAAATAAACCCATTGGCCCTAAGCGCTCAGGTACCACACGTCAGGTTAGACTGCAACGTCTATTCCGGGGTGATAAAAAAGAGTTTTCTCTCTAATTTCCAACGTTTGGACTCCGGATAGTTTCGGGGTTTTTTTTCTCCCCCTGACCCTTTTCTTTCGGGTGGGCGACCAGCTGGCGCCCTTGGAGAAAGCACCGCGCCGGAGGCAACAGGAGGATTCTCCTCCGGCGGATTAAGTTGACCGTTTCTTTCTGAATGAACCCAAAGTCTGCCTCCGGCTTGCCCCTACCAGTTAATGTTTCAAAGCTTAAACTTGTGGGAGAAGTGAGACCGCCTCGCCACGTCTCCCTCCAAGGCGCTAGGCTGAGGTACTCCTCGTGTAGCCTTGTCTTGCAGCCCCGGGACAGCTCTCCAGATTTCCAAAAGCGCCCTTCAAGACAGGGATCAACGGAGCGCCGGCAACGATGCTCAGTTCTGTTTCATTTCCCCACCGCAGACTTCTCTCCCATCCCCGCCGCTCTCTGTGGTCTTCCCCTCGGCATCCCACTTCCCATCGACTCACTTAAAGGCAAGGTTCAAAGTGAGCTGCGTCTCTAAGAGGGCAGGTGAGCCAGGGAAGCAAAGATTCTTTCTGCCTCTCGATTTCAAGATCAGATTATGGATCCTTCAGCCGGCTAGCGAAGGTTTCTAAGTACGCCGAGGTATTTCCTTTGGTCAACTTCTCGTTCTTTTTCCTCACCCGAATAACGTTGAACTGGCTCTGAAAGGATCGAAAGATCCTTGCAAATTCTAGAAAGGGGACCGAAATACCGGAAGGACTCTAAAACCGCTCTCTTTCGAGTTTTCTAACTATGCCATCAATTTACTCTTAAGACAGGTGTGCATGGGTGTGCGCCCGCCCGGGCGTGTAAACGCACCCACCCACCCCCGTGTAGGGAATCCTTCCGCTTTCCTTGCGAACATCAAATCGGCCAAGCTTTAAAAGGCAAGATTAAATCGTGGCAAAGTAATGATAATTTTTCGGAACTCAGGCATTCAAGTTTCTCCTGAAACTGATTTGGGGCTTTGCCGACCGAGAAGGCGTTTAGGAAACGGTGTTCGTGGTTGAACGTTCACTGGTGAGGTTTACCAGGTAGGACAGCAGCTCTTGTAACGTGAGAAAGGTTTTCTGTAGCCTCTGGCTTTGCGAGAGAACTATAACTTTGTTTTTTTCTTTCTTTGGAATCATTGCATACCTGTTCTGACCAGGTGTCTGCTGGGCGCCTTTTTGCCACAGCAGCTGCCAGAATCAAAGTAAGTGAATCTTGGGGGGGGGCGCACACTTGGTCAGATATTCTGGCTGGCTTTCGGTAGCCTGTTGCAAAACCTCGCCAATCTATAGCAGGGTTCGGTTGACCTCCCTTTCTTTTTTCTTTTTCCCTTTCTTTTCATAAGCTTAATTGCTTCTGTAAACAAATCGCTTTGGCTGTCTTTAAATGTTTTAAAAAAATGACAAGATTGGAGAAGCTCTTATTTGCTTTAAAAATCAGAACAAAAGCACCGAGGGCAATCGATTTTCCTTCGTATTTGGAATCTATAATTAAATGTAAAAAAAACGGGGGGGGGGGGAGAAGGGAAATATGATTTTCTCCCTCCTTTCTTTTTGCCTCTAGCGTTGCTCCAGATCACTTCCTTGTTTCAGATCAGTAGTGCCTCGTTTACACGTCTTCCCCTGTTCAAATTAATAGAAGTTCTGCCTCTTGCCCGCTCAACTTTTTGTCCCTTCCCTCTCGCTCTCCCCCAGCTCTGCCTCCGCCAGCCCCCTCGTCTGATTACATCTAGTAATTCTCCACTGAATGAACGTCATTTACAATACGAGGGGAGCTCTCGAGCTGCCTGCAAAGCCTTCACGCTCCATTTGGTCTTGCATTCTCCCTTTAAAGTAGTCGTGTAATATTAATAGTCATGAATATCAATTATTATGAGGCGGCGTAGGGAAGGGAAAGGAGAAAGGGGCACTGGAGCAGTCTGAAGCTTGCCTTGGGTTGAAGAGGATTGCTTTTGGAAGCGCAACGGGCGGGGAGGGGGGGCAACACGAGGACGCTCCTCGCCGACCGTAGACTCTCTCCATACATATTTTCCTCCAAATTTTGGTTTTGATGGATAGACTCGGAAATACCTCCAGCTGTTCTCCTGGGTGCACCAAGGTCCTTTGCAGATTTTCTTGATACCGCCCCTCTCCTTGTTACTAGAATTATTAATATTAATTTATTATTATTAGTAGTAGTAGTAATAGTAGTAGTAGTATTCTACTGCTATTTTATTTTTACCTGTTTCAAGATTTTTTAAACAAATTTCCAGATGTTAGTCCACACCTATTCCGCTATGGTGAGTTGGGTCTGTGTTATAATTTAAAATTGCCCTCTTCTCTTTGCCCCTCCGTGCCTTGTCTCTAGACCCTCTCTCCTTCTTTCTCTTTTAGCTTGCCTCCCTCCCTCTCTCCCTCCCTCCCTCTCTCCCTCTCTCTTAACGCCTTTGGCTTGGTAATTTAGCACAATAATTGGAAGGCGCTTGCAGCTGCTTCTCCATTTTGTATTGTGTGTTCTTCATTTGATCTGGGAATGGGGAGGGGGATCAATGGGGGGAAACTTTTTCAGGGGAGGAAGGAGATATTGCTGTTAAGAAGAGGATCTACATTTTCTGGTGTATGTGTGTTGGGGGGGTGTCTAAAATTGCAGCTTTGTTTCTGTTATAGTATGTATCAGTATTATAAGAATATTCGTTGACTTTTTAATTACTTTTTTCGGATTGTTAGGGATAATCGTTAATATATACTCTTTTTATAGTCATATAGTATTTTTTCTGTCAGACACAAATGTAATTTGGGGGAGAGTGTAAAGAGTCCAAGACCAATACATTTATTTTGAACCAGAAATAGACTTATTTATCCATGCAACCATTTTTTATTTGTTTGAAGTTGAGTTTCTTTGAGAATCGTTTTGGTTAATGCTGTTTTCATATCTTCCTGCCCTTAGAATTATAGCCTCTTGGTCATATGTCCTGCCATCCAAAACATGAGTGGATGGCCCCTTTGTTCATTTCTTCTCACGTTTTAAAGATTTTTTTACCCTGAAGCAATTGATGGTTTTATATATACATTCATATTTATTCATAAGCTATCTAGTTGATCAAGCAGCATTATATTGTTATTATTGTTATCATCATTCTTACTGGTGCAATTTAAGCCTTTTGGTGAACTTTTTTTTTAAAATAATCAATTTTATCATCATCCTCAACCTCATGCTGATAATCCCCATTGAGCGTTGGGCTTTAAAATACCATTTAGGGTGTTATGATTATAGTTGAATGTATGGGGAGAAGATAAGAAACAAACGGTTATTAATCCCAGGGAAATATTTACATTGACTCGAATGGTGGCACATGGCGACCATCACCATCACTACATTGGGAGAAATAGGAGCACTTTAGGATGGGTGGGTTTTTTTTAATCATAGAGGATGACTTTTTAAAACGCCTCTCTTTCTCTCTGCTTCTTTTGTTTGTATCTCTGTCTGGGGCCTAACTGCTCCCTCCAGGACCGGCACGATGGAGTCCCCAGCCACAGTTCCCGGCTGTCCCAGCTGGGCTCGGTCTCGCAAGGCCCTTACTCCAGCGCCCCTCCGCTCTCTCACACGCCTTCCTCGGACTTCCAGCCGCCCTACTTCCCGCCGCCCTACCAGCCTCTTCCTTACCACCAGAGCCAGGACCCTTACTCCCACGTTAATGACCCCTACGCCCTAAACCCGCTGCATCAGCCCCAGCAGCATCCCTGGGGGCAGCGACAGCGGCAAGAAGTGGGCTCCGACGCCGGCTCGCTGCTGCCCCAGCCACGGGCTTCTTTGCCGCAGCTCTCGGGCCTCGACCCGCGACGGGACTACCACTCCGTCAGGCGGCCAGACGTCCTTCTCCATTCGGCTCACCATGGCCTGGACTCCGGCATGGGCGACGCGCTTTCCCTCCACGGCATCGGGCATCCCGGCATGGAGGATGTGCAGGTAAGTCGCGCTCCGGAACCGCTTAAGGCGAGGGTCATTGCCCCGTCAGGGTTTCTTGGAACCCCGGGAGCCCTTTGAGGCTAGAAAGCCACCCTGATACCAGTACAGCCTGGGTTGGATGCCACGATCCATCAGTCCGGCCAAGTGGCCTAAAAGGGCTCTTCTGTCGCAGGCAACTGTGACGGGCCAGGCTCCGGAGCAGGCCTGGCGTTTGCAAGAGGCGAGTCCGCCGCCTTCGTGCGGCGGCGACTGGGTTCCACTGGAACTGCTGGGCTGCCTTGTTACAGACCCAGACCCAGCCAGCGGCGGCAAAGTTTCTGCCCAACTCTAGAAGGCCTGGCCCTGTCACATTTTCCCTAACCACAAGGGACTCATTTCTAAGTAGAAGCGGCTCTCAAAGAAGGGGCGAGCACCCAGCTGGGCTGACTCTGGACTCTCGAGGATGGTCAAAGAAATGGCGAGATCCCAATTCCTACCATGCTATTCTTCCCTATCCTCCTAGGTGGCTTAGAACCGCCGGGCCTTCGAAAAAAAAGGCTGGGCAGGAAGATTAACATACCAGGCCAGCTTGGGAAAGTCCAGGACTTAGTGTCCCAGTCCCTTGCAACACCGGGGGCCTGGCTCAGTTTTAGCTTTCCCCCTTTCCAATTTAGATAAACAAGTCTGAAGAACCTGACAGGTTAACCTGACCAAAGAAGCTGGCAGTGTTTATGTGGTGTGTTTTGGTGGGGAAGGGAGAAGAAAAGGATGTCGCCTTCAACCTATATTGTGTGGCTTCTTCTTAGCTACTGAGCTTCGATGGATTCTGGCCTTGAAGCCGGACCCTGGGCATCTCCCCTCACTCTCTCTGGTGTGCTTTCTGGCGGCTGAATGCCTTAGAGTCAGCGCATCTCCTGCGTTTGGTTGCCCGTGGCCGGCTGTGTGTGTGTGTGTGTGTGTGTGTGTGTGTGTGTGTGTCTGTGTGTGTTTGTAAATAACCTTCCGAAGCAAAACTGGAGCTGTGATAAGCAGAGAAGCGAACAGTATGGAGAAAACCGCATGTTTTGTAGTTCAACGGATAGGAAGTGGGACGCGGGGGGGGGGGAGCACGAAGATTTTGCTTTCCCCCGCAATCGGGGTGGTTTTCTGCTGCGTTTTCCGCTAACCCTCTCCGGATTTCGGCGTACAATTGCCTGAGGCAAGCTCCTCCGATTTATCAGACATGATCCTGTCTTTTTCCCTGAAGGGTAACCTCAGCTAGGCAAAACCGAGCCTTTCTTTTTCTTAAAACTGCCAGAGTGAATGAGAAAAAGCAATGAACTGAGCCAGATCATAAGATCTCGAAAAAGAACCACTTTGATCATAGATTTACCCCCTACTCTATCCCAAACCTGGAGTCCCAGAGGGCTCTAATCGAGGATCGATATTATAATAACCAATTATTCCCTTATTTCCCGATTAGGGGTAAGTGTCTTTGCAAAGGAAGGCAATTTAATTTTGAAATACACTTATAAAATTTATGAAACGATGCCTTTGCAGACAAGAATCTACTTAGCAGGAATTATCGTAGAAAATCAACCCGTCCGCTTAGGGAGTAAAAGCAGAGAAAGGGAAGGCCCTGCGATATGTTACATTTTCAAGGAAGTTTTCCAGATTAAGTTATATACCTTGTTTTCCCTTCTAATAGTTCTTCTCATCTTTCTAAGTCGAGTGTTTGTTTATTTAGAATTTAGCTGAATCGAGATAAGGAGAACCTGGGGTGTCTCCCATATTATAATACACGACTTTATTTGACTTCTGGGGGCGGGGGGGGG